ATGTGTAACTTCGCTGCAGCAAATCGATAAACCCTGCTGTGGGCAGATCCCAGCCTCAAAATCCAATTACTCTAAAAACCTCCAAAAATGAATAAAGTGACCAGGAGTGCCTACTCCTAAAAATGGGGGAAGGGAGATTCTTATTAGCCGGGTCTTCTCAAGTTGGCCTGCTAGACTCCAGGCTGGGGTGCTTTTATAGTCAAGGAGAACAGTCCCTAGAAGAGAATGAATTTGGGGATATGTTGGTTTGTTTGTTTGTTTTCCTTTTGCTTCAAATCTGCCTTTTTTTTTTTTTTTTTTTTTTTGCTTTGCTTTGAGTTCTTGGCTTCTGTCCCGGCATCCAGAACCCAGCGATGAAAGAACCAGGCGGGAAAAGAAAGTGGCTATTGCGTCTCTGGTTCTACCCTCTGGTCCCTCTGTGAAGAAGCTTTCACAGCCAGGGAAGGGTTAAGTGTCCCCGCTGCAGTTATGGAGAGGAAGCTGATGAAAAACGGGCACTTGGAACTCCAGGCCAGGCCAGCTTTCCTGTTTACACTTCTTTATACTTCCTCCCATCCCCGTGGCCACAGAGAAACAAAACAAAACAAACAATCAAATAAAGCAAAACAAAATCAAATTGTCTTACAAGTGGTGGCCAGGCCCGGCTCTGCCCCTCGGGGAGCTGATTTGGCTAAGAAGGAACTGGCCTGGCTTGTGGTTCAGAAGTTGAGGCCTAGACGTATGGGGAAAGGAAATGGTAGGAGGGGAGAGGTCTGGGGGGGGGGGCATTTTCAGGGAGGAAATGGAGAGAGGAGGGGGGGGAAGAGAGGAAGAAGAATGAGGAAAGTGGGGAAGGAAAGAAAAGGAAGAGGAAAAGAGGAGGTAAGGAGGAGGGCAGAGGCGACACAAGTCTGGGGCGAAGAGCATTCTTAGTAACTTCAACCTCATCCTCATCCTCATCCACCTCCCCAACTTGCCCTGGCTGCAGTTTAGAGAACAGTCACCCCAGGAAAGCCAAGCTGGGGGAAAGGGAAGCCAACTAGGGTCTCTCTCTCTCTCAGATCTGCTTAGTCATTGAGAGACCTTCCAAGGGGTTTACCTCTGAAGGAAAAGTAGACATCCGTGCCTGGGACTGTTCTTTTGCCATTTTGAAAAATCGATTCAAATGTGTCCATGGCTGTCTCGAGGCCCGTCAGCCTGGACCGCCTGTCAGAGTTTGCAAAGACTGACATGCAAACGGGGGAGGGGGAGCGTTTTTCAGGGACAAACCTAGTTATCTGGAGTTTCAAGACACCAAGAAGGATCTGGAAAGCAAGTTAGAGTAAGGAAGGCCAGGGAAAATAGGGAAGAAAAAAAAAAAAAAAAAGGATTCCTTGGGAACCCCCAGGTTAGACTCTACTGCTGTCGCACGTCTCCTTTGCACTTCTTTCAACTGCTTTGAAGCCTTCGGAAGCCAAACCTCCAAGGCGCATTCATATTTAAGTGCTGCTGACATCCTTTGATCCTTTGGGAGTGAAAAGGGGTGTCCTTCACAAGGGGTGTTAATGTCCATCGTTCTTAGGAAGATGCATCTTCAAGCCAGGGTGAGGATCCCAGACCCTTAGTCTCTTTCTTGTGGTTCTAAAGCCCATCGAGGCTCTCCTATAAGTTGGGCGTGGGCAAGGAATGGTGAACTTAAAAAGACATAGAGAGAGGAGAGCAAGGGACAGGACAAGCAGAGGGGAGCACCGCTATCCCCTTCCTGTGGCCCTTCTTTGTCAGAGGTCACAAGCCCTTCCAAATGCCAAGTCCTATCTTATGAATTATCCACCACCACCACCTTTGGCGAACCCAGAAACAGTGAGCTGGCGGGAAGCAGGACCACCAGAGAACTCAATTAAAGGGGTTGGGGGAGACACGTCCATTTGATCTATAAGAGGATTCTACCCTTTAGAAGAAGGGTGACTTTTCCTTAGAAAACAAGGTTCCCATGGAGAGGGGCAAATTTGGAAATCCCTCTGGTTTGCGGTGCTACAAAACAAAGAGCGCATTCAGAATCCGGAGGAGGAAGAAGAGGAAAGAGAAACGTCTTAGTCTCTTTTGGAAATCTGTGTTTCTGGGCAGGTTGTATTTGTGTCAGGATAGCTAGACACACGGACATCCTCTACACCTGGACAGAAGTTCTCTTCTCTCCTACCCCTGGCCGGGAATTAGGTTTGAAGCTGAAGGGCTACGAACCCGCTCTGTCTGCTCCTTGTTTTAACTCAAGCTCCTTCTTACAGATCAGGAGAAGAAATCAATTTGATACCAACAGGCCGAAGTGGAGTATTAAAAACGATGAGCTCCCACATTCTAGATAACCCTGAGGGTAAGGGGGGATCATAGAGAGTGCAGGGGTGTTCTTTATTGGGGGGGGGAGACAGACATCTCAAACCCAGAGAGCATTCTAGGGTGAGGTATCCCACAGCAGCCGCCTACCCTGGCCCTTTCTCTCAAATATATGCAGGTGAAAGTGCCTTCCGGGTTCTCCCAACACACCCCAGACAAACAAATCTCATAAAGTTCCTCTTCTGGGGGTTTAGGGGTGATCTACTCGAAGATAGCCTGCAGCGAAATGCCCCCCAACAGTTCACACCCCTCCTTCTTGACCCCTAATTTCCAAAGACATTGAAGGAACATGGACCCCCACAAGGCCCCCCTTTCTCCGCAGAGCTCTTGTAAATAAACACCACACACCTCCCTTCCATGGAAGCCTTATAGAACTGAGCCCCATTTCTCAGAACTGAGTATGGAAAAAAAAAAAAAACAAACCAACAACAGCAACAACCAACAACAACTGTTAAATTTCCTCCTGTACCATTCCACAGCCCTACTGGAAACAAAATTCTCTTCTCCCATCCTGAGCCCCCAAACTGCAAGGGAAGAAACCGAAAGCTGGACTTACTGTTGTGCGCTGGGCCTGGGCTGTGGCCACTGCCTTCCTGGGCTTTTCCCGGCTGCTCTAAGCTGGAAGAGCGCTCACCTACCTCTGCCCCCTTCCCCACCACAGTGAGCAGTTAAAGTGTCACTTAACATTCTGGAGAATGTGAAATATACTGCGCGGTGTCAACTCCCCAAAACCATAAAACTAACTTTATGGACCTCACGTGACTTTCTCGAGCCAGTGAGGGGTATCTGTCTGACTTCTCGGCGATTTTTACGATCTAACTTCGAGATAAAACCCCTATCCATTTGACATCTAAATGTCATAGCGACTTTTGGGGTAGTTTGCTTTCGGCAAAGGGGGACAAAGTCACGGGGTGAGAGGGAAGGAGGGCTCAATACAGCCTCCAAGATCTTCACCATCACCTCACCGGCTCCCCCTCCCCCCTCCTCCAGGTCCTGTAAGAAGTTGGGCCCAGCTGGAAGGGAGTGACTGGGTAAGTGTTCAGACTTGACTCTTTGCTCAGGGTGGAGGCTGAACTGGATGGATGAAGACTGGGCCCTGGTCCTGAACCAGGCTGGAGGGGGAAATCAGGGGTCTTTCAGGAGGAACCCCAACCAAGAGGCGAAGGTCAGTCGGGACCTCTGGAGAGGAGAACCCCCCGAAAAGTGTACAGAAGGCCAAGTGTGACAGGAAACCTTTGAAATCGAACTGACATTTTTTTTTCCTTAGTGGGTGGCAGAGCTGAACTGGGGTTTGGAATAGGAGACAGAGCATCTGGGCAGGCCTTTTCCAGTCTCAAAGACCAGGAACCTTCCTGCTCAGAACTTAGGCCCAAATTACTCTTCCTGGAGCATTTCCCACAGGCTTTCCAACCCAGCTGGTGGGAAGTCAGGATGGAGTCCAGCTAAGGCCTCCATGAAGTCCCTGGACCTCTCAGTTCCAGTTCCCCAGTTCCGTAGGCATGAAGGCCTGCCTGTCTCCTGGCCCAACCATCAGTGGCCAAGCTAGGGACTTAGGTGACTCTGAGGGATTTCTAGTGGACATCCTACTTTCCTTTTCTTTATGCCCTAGGCTTATCGAAGATGGTCTTAGGCTAGGTTGTGGCCCCCGAAGAAAAGACAAGCAGAAGGGCATTGGAGTGGGGGAGACATTTATTTGACTTCAAGGAAAAGCTACAAACATACCGAAAGCTAATCACTGAGACAGGCCTGGCAGAGACAGATTTCACACGTAGCACAACATTCACTCGCTCACTACAAATGGTTTTAGAAGCGAAATGGGTAAGGGAGGAAGTGATTGGCCTGGCCCAGACTATCCCCATATTTACATACAAGCTTTGGGTCTTCTAGCCAGACCCACAGATTCACAGAGGGAAAAAAAAAAATCACAAGACATTTTACACTGAGGATTATTTCTGATTCCACACACTCCCAGAGTAGGCCTTGTGGGGCCTACCAGGCAGCAGGGGCTTAACTCTCACTCTTTTCCTCCCTTCTTCTCCATATCCACACTTTGGTCCTTCAGGGCCCTCCTCGCCACCCCAGGAACAAGCCAGTGGGAGAACTGAGCCTAGGGAGTGGGGGGCTGAAGAAAGATGAGGTGGGCGGAAAGAGACACAATCATGGACTACATTTCCCCAGGCCAGCTCAGCTGGGCCTAGCGCCAACCTCAACTGCTGCCCCTCATGGAAGTTTCCAGGGGAAACTCAAAATACAGCCACCATCCTTTTATAAATAAGTTAGAACACAGACGGGGAGGGGGGGCACATTAAACATGCGGATTTCTTTTTCTTTTCTTTTTTTTTTTTTTTCCCCTGGGTAAAGGAACGTAACCACGGACATGAGGACATTCAGAGACACTGGCAATTTGGGGCAAGCGGGGGAGGATGTGGGGGATCATGGAGGGGAAATAATAATAATTATTATTAACAATAATAACAAGATAAACCAGTCCAGGAGAGAGGGAGCCATGGGAAGACCTAAGACCAAACGAAAAACTGTAACACAAGACTGGGGCGAGACAGGCTCCTGGGAACAGGTCCCCAGCGAGCAGTGGCAGCACAGGGAGGGTTGGAAGGGTCGGGCTGGGGGTGGTGCGGACTCTTGGGCCGCCCAGGGCTCCTCCGGATGGGCTCATGGTTGGAAGGCGCTGCCGGCTGTAGCCAGGCTCATACTTTTCAGTTTGTTGTCTTTCTTCCACTTCATGCGCCGGTTCTGGAACCAGATCTTGATCTGCCGCTCGGACAGGCAGAGCGCGTGGGCGATCTCGATGCGCCGCCGCCGGGTCAGGTAGCGGTTGAAGTGGAATTCCTTCTCCAGCTCCAGGGTCTGGTAGCGAGTGTACGCCGTCCGGGCCCTTTTCCCGTCCGGCCCAGTCATATCTAGAGCGGGTTAGAGGAGAGCCCCGAGGCAATGTTATTCCGGTTAAAGGAGGGGGGCACCGAGTGGGAGGGGGCGGGGAGCAGGACCCAGGCGTCCCCAGCACCCAGCTCCCCGCAGCTCCGGTCCTCCTCACTCCGGACGCCCGCGCCCAGCCTCTGTTTCTCCATCCCTTTCTCCCTACTTCTGGCTTTGTCTCCGGCTCCGTCCCTATGCCTCACCCTAGGCTGGCTTCAGGCTGCCGCTCGCCCCCCGGGAGGGAGGAGAGCCGCGGCGCTTCTGCCCTAGAAAGCTCCCCCGTTTCCAGCCCATTCCCCCTTTGCTTAGCAGCTGTCTCAAAATTTCAGGGATAAACAGGACCCTTCCCCACAACACACAAATCCCATCTTTCTTCCTAGAGCCAGGCGACTGGCCGGGTAAATAAAACCTAAGCTGAGCGTGGCAACAAATTGTTTTTTTTTTTTTTTTTCTTAAATGCCCACGCGTAGCCAAAGACCCTGTTTGTCTCTACCCATGGAACTGTGGGGACCCTTTTGGACACTTCTCCCTCTTGGTGGTGGGGGGGGGGGGAAGGAATTTTAATTTGGGGCAAAGCCAGGCTTTCCTCGCGCCCCCCCCCCCAACCTCTAACCTAAAGCAGGGATGCTGAGAGGACAAAAAAGAGAGAGAGAGAGAGATGGAGATTTACCGTGGCTGATGTGAAGCTTCCTCATCCAGGGGAATATCTGCGGAGCCTGCCCCTCGGGCGCGGCTGTAGAGGTGGCCATGGGCTCTGGCTGTGCCCGAGCTAGGCTGGGGCTGCTCAGCTGGCTGGCCGCTTCCTCGGGCTCGGAGGACGCGCTGGCCTCGTCTATTTCGGTGAAATTGGCGCTGGAGCTGGCTGGGGTCGCCTGGTCGGATGGGGACGAAGCGGAGGGCTTGGCGCCGTGGCTGTCGCCGTTGGTGCAGGGCAGGGACTCGGGCGAGGACAGGGAGCAGCTGGACGTCGCCTGCCTGAAGCGGGGCTCCTGGGTGGACGCGGGGAAGGCGCGCGAGCCCTCGCCCACCGCCCCAAAGTGGCTGGAGGAGGCCGAGGAGCGGTTGACGCTGAGATCCATCCCATTGTAGCTGTAGCCGTAAGAGCCGGTGTGCATGGCAGCGGGATCCCTGTACGAGCCGCTCAGAGAGCTGCCACTGCCATAATTTAGCAACTGATAGTCCGGGCCATTTGGATAACGCCCCGAGAAGGAGTTTACAAAGTACGAGCTCATTTGGGTGATTTTGGAGGGCTTGATTTGTGGATCGTGGTCGTTATAACCCTGTGCTTGACGATTTATGATGTATTAATGAATTATAGCGATGCACTGTACTTCGTTTTGCTATGTATGCGGCCAAATATGGGGGGGGGCCTGGAAGGGGGGGGGGGGGGGCGTTAGGGAATCACGTGCTTTTGTTGACCAGTCGTAAATTCTCGCTGATGACCTCAAGAGGTAATTCATGCTCTATGGTTACAAATAATGACGATCGGAGAATCGTTAGGGCCGATTCAATGCGAGCCTCCGAGAAGGGAGGAGGGGGGGCGGGAGGAAAAAGAGAGAAGGGGGAGAGACGGGGAGAAGCTCGGCGTTGGCCTCTGAGCAGAGCGCGCCACCTCCCGGCGGCTGGCGGGAGCAGCGGGCCGCAGGCCGCCATGGCGGCGTCGGCAGCCTCCTGGCTGGCTCGGTGCTACCGCCAAGCAAGCAAGAAACCCCGGGCCCGCAGCTCCCCCGCAGGCTTGAACCTTTAGGAGGATGGATTTGAGTCTCTCGCCCACTTTTTTATTTTTTATTTTATTTTATTTTTTAGGATGTGGTCATTCCCTCTATGTCCTCTCTGACATTATTGTTAACATTATTATTATCATCATCATCATCACCACCACCATCATCACCACCGTTTTAACTCTGGAGATTAGAGATGTAGTTGCCCGACCTTCCCTCCTTAAGCTTCTCCAGTCCCCCAAGTTGAGTAAGGAAGTGGGGAATGGGGGGGGGGATGGTCAGAGGTTGTGTGTGAAGAACAGATATGCTCTCCCTCAGCTGAGCCAGGCCTGCTTCCTGGCCGGGCTTCTTCGGTGCTGGCGGGTCCACACCACCAGAGAACCACAGGGCTGGAAGAGGCAGGGAAGCTCTTCGTTTTCCTGGGCCCCTGGGAAGTCTGAAGTTTTCCTTCCGATCTTGTCTTTAGGCTAGGCCTAGGAACAGAGCTGAACGGGGGGGGGGGGGGGGGGGCTAGAAGAGGAACAGAGCCGAGGCAAAGACTAGAACGGCGGTTTAGGTTTGGAGGAGTTTGGGGGGTAGAACAGATCCCCTTCACAGTCTCGCCAGATGCCAGCCTTCGCTTTCGGAAGCTGGATCCGAAGCCTTGTGGCGCTGGTGGCTCAGAGTTGGAGAATTTGTTCACTGGCCTTTCCCCGCCTTCCCCTTCCCCGGGAAAGGGGTTTGGGAGAGCGGCGGCCCCTCGCGGAGCGCGCCGGGCGGCCAGACATTTCCGCAGCTGGGCCCCTTCTGCCAGGCGGCTATTTTCTTTAAAAATAACAATTAAAAAAAAAAAAACAAAAACAAAAACAGAGAGAGAGGGAGAGAGAGAGCGGGAGAAGGAAGAAAAGAAACCGGTGCCTGGAGCTCGAGGCTTGGGTGAGGGTGGGAGACAAGAGAAAATGAGCCATTTTGGGATTGAGGAGTCTGAATTGCCTTATCACCTGGCCCTCTGCCCTCAGGTCTCCGAAGAGCAAGGTAAAGTCAGGCCCTTTGCAGCCTTCTGCTCCCAGGTTCTCAGTTCCTTCCTTGCCACCAGCTCCTACTTAATATGAGAAGGGGCACCCTGGAGCCTGTGGAGAGGTGCCCAGTGGCCTCATTTTTCAGTCTCCAGAGCAATAGGCCAGGGAGCCGAGGGCCAAGACCGGCAGAGACAACCATGTGGATGGGCCAAAGGCCAGGGGCCTTGGCTTGCAGAGGACAGAGAAAAAAAGAAAGAAAAAAACAAAACAAAACACTGCCGAGGCTCCCAGACCCACCCAGCTCTGTCTCTCTAGGGCTCTGAGCAAGGAGGCCTCAAAGTAGCATCCCTCCAGAGCCTCACAAGCAAGGCAAACTTAGAGAGCTAGAGGGAGAAGGCTTCCTCCATCCCTTAAGTCTGAATGGAAGAGGCGATTGTGAATTTAGCTTCAGCGAGGCACGACCACCGACCACCGAAGCCGGGGCCTGGGAGGCCAGATCGCAGGCCTCTGCTTTTGGCTCCTGCTTTTATCTCAACTGTAATTTCTGAATCGAGTCCGGCGGCTGGGAAGGCCCTTGGGGCTCGGACCTTTGCTGTTCAGACTCAGGGGTGACAGGGTGGCTGGGGGCTATGGGGGAGGAAAAAAAATGGCAGGGAAGGATTGGATGTGATTGAGCTGCGAGTTTTCACATCTTTATTATCATCATCATCATAATCATTATTAATAATATTAATATTATTACCGAAGTATTCCACGTCCAGACCCTAAGACAAGACTACAAACACAACACATAAAAAAATTAATAAAATAGAACTTTGTTTTCTTCTGAGGCTCCTCTTCTTACTTCTAGGTAGTATGTGCTCCTTCCAGTGGCTTTGGGGAGGGGGTAAGAGAGGCAAGTCTGGGGTGAGGGAGTCTTTCAGGTCCCTGCTGAGGGGACAGCGAATCTACCATTGAACCGTGCACTGGGTACGGGTGGGGGGACATGGACGAAATGAGACAAGGACAAGAGCGTTCCGCTCTGCTTCCGGGAGACATCCAGTGAGTCCGATTCTCAGTTCTCACCCAGGGAGCCTGCTGCGGCCAAGGTGGGTTCTTCCGGGAGGGAGGAGGCGCCGGGGTGCTGGGTGGTCAGCGCCCCCACCCCAAGCGCCCCGGGAAGAGCTCTGCGGAAGGGGGCGTCCGGGAGAGCGCTGGGCCCCGCCCGTCTGGCGCTGGACAGCAAGTCCCCAAACTTCCCCCCCCCCAACCCCCGACCGCAGAGCCTTCTGGGGCTTTTGGGTGCCCTCGGTTCCTCCAACAGGCCTCTCTCTCCCTCTCTCTCCTCTCTCTCTCTCTCTCTCTCCCTCCGCGTCCCTCCTCCCTCTGCAGCAAGCACCTTCACTCGGCCGGTTTTTCTTCCTCCTCCTCCGCACTGAGCTGAGACGCGCTGAGCAGTTTGCTCTCCTTTTTCCACTTCATGCGTCGGTTCTGAAACCAGATCTTGATCTGCCGCTCGGTCAGGCACAGGGCGTGCGCGATCTCGATGCGCCGCCGGCGGGTCAGGTAGCGATTGTAGTGAAATTCTTTCTCCAGCTCCAGGGTCTGGTAACGCGTGTAGGTCTGGCGGCCCCGTCGACCGCTGGGCCCGAAAGAGGAACCTGTTACGCAGAGGGGAGAAACTGAGGCCTTGGGGGTCACCACACCAAACCCCCGAAAGCCCCTCTCCCACTGGGCCCTCCAATGTAATGCTAGGGTGGGTCGGGAGGTGTCTTTCCCCTCGCCCGGTCCCTGGTCCCCCTTTCCCACTCCTCCAGCGCCCCCTCCAGATTCCCTCCTGGGCCTCCGGGGCCTGTGGCTTTCTTTCTGTCTAGACCTTCGGTGGGGGAGGGGAGGGGCAGTTGGCTGCCACCTGAGCTTAGGGGGAGGGGCTGGCCAGGTGTGTCTCCCGCTGGCTGCATCTTTTCCTTTCCCTTCTTTTCCATCCATCCATCCATCTCTCCCTACCCCACTGGACGATAGATTCTGGCTCTTAGATCCATAACGATCGATTCATAGTCCGCATTAACAGCTCCTCACTTTCCTGCCCTGCTAATGGGCATCAACTGGGACTCTTGAAGCCGACAGATAATCCAACTCGAGACCTGGGCGCCGGCCTGTCCCTCTCCCTCCCTCCTCCCGTCCCCTCTTTACTCTTCCTTCCTCGGACTACCACCCCTTCCTGGGGGCTCCCCAGTGTCCCCACCCCCAACCCCCAGCCCCAGGGAAACACAATCCAGGGACCCAGTAAACTGGCCCTTAAGGGTGTCACGCGCCCCCCTCCCCCTTCCATGACGCACTCTTGTTTTTAAATGAAGTGGTCTTTGGGTGCTGGGATCCGGGCAGATCCAGATGGAGGGAGGTCATCCAGGACAGCAAAACCAGACGCTGAGTTCCCCCCCCCTCGCCTGCCTCTCTCTCTCTCTCTCTCTCTCTCTCTCTCTCTCTCTCAGAGCCCACTGACTCCCCCTGCCTTTACTGTGCAAGCTGGGACTTTGCAAACTTTGCAACTTCTAAGGGCAGGAGGGCCGATCTAGAGGCACGGCCCCCCCCCTCCCCATCTTGCCCTATCTGCTGAGCTGCCCCCCTGGGGGGGGGGGACATGACACCCGCTAGGTCTGCCCTTCTGCTTGAGCGGGGACCCCGGCGCGGGACAGCGGGCGGCTCTCACTCACTGTTGCACGAATTCACGCGCTGCATCCACGGGTAGACGGGCGTGGAGCACTTCTGCTCCTCGCTCTCTCCGAAGACGCTCTTGTCCTGGGCGCAGTCGGACTTGCGCGGCTCCGGGTGGAACGGGGGAGGCTCGTCCGCGCCGGAGAGGGCGCAGGCCGCGTCCTTCTCCCGGTAGAAGGCGGGCGCCGGCCCGTAGTCGCAGGGCGCCGCCCGGCCGTAGCCTCCGCCGGCCGGCGGGTAGTAAGACGATGCCGCGAAACCCTTGTCCTGGCCCGGGCCAGGCCCGTAGGGCGCCGGGTAGTGCCGCAGCGGGTCCGCATAGCCCGACGAGTAGAGCGGCAGCTGGCCCAGGAAGGACTCCTGCCCGCTGGCCAGAGTGACGGGGAAGGTGGAGTTCACGAAATAGGAACTCATCGGGAGGGGAGGCGCGCGCGGCCGCTGCTGGCTCCGCCGGGTTTATGATTTGTTGTGGTTTATAATCCGAGCGCCTCGCCTATTAGTAGTATAGCCGAGATTGGGTTTTAGCTGAGGGGGGATGGCGAGGTGCCAGTGAGGGCCAGAAGGAAATACAACCATCTGATCCAACACTGACCAATGGCAGAGGCAGGAATTGTCAAATAGCACCCAGGAGGAGCGCAGCCTGCACGAGGGACCCGCGCACAAACCTATCAACCTTTTCCCCCTCCTCTCTCTCTCCCTCTCTCTCTCTCTCTCTCTCTCTCTCTCTCTCTCTCCCCACCACGAGCCCTGTTCCACCTACGTAGGATCTGCGAAAGAGGCGTCTGTGCTTTGGAGGGGAGGAGGAAACATGGAGATGAAGATCGTCCCGTTCCCTGGCGATGAAATAAATACACTCCTCCCCCCCCCTCCCCAGCCCCACGCAGGAATAGGAAAAAGTTAATTGTGTTTTCAGAAAAGTTAACCCCTGCGTTGCATGGGCCCGTTCTCTCGAGGGAGGGCTGGGTAAATGCCCACGAAGGTCGTTGAGAGAGAATAAAACACAGAGGTCTGTTGGGGGGGGGGGGATGGACGAAGTTGCCCGCTCATTTGCTTCATTTTAAAAACAGAGGGAAGAAAACACCCTCCTCCACACGTTTGGAAAATTGTACTGTTTATCAGGCCCGGCTCTCCCCCTTTAAGCTTAGGTGTATCAGATCATTGCTTCAAACACAACTCTCTCTGGCTTGCTTAGAGGGGACAAGCCAAACTCCTACGCCTTCAAGAAAATGTCAGGGGTGTGTGAGCCCAGCTTCTCCCTCTGGCTGCTAGGCTAGGCTGGCAGCTTCTGGCGAGCCTGTCCTTACGCCCAAGACAGCTCAGCCGGCCTGGTGGCAGTCTGGACTGACAATGGGGCCTTGGAGGGAAAAACAAAAACAAAACAAAACAAAACAAACAAAAAAAACCCTAATAGTCCTTAAACTTAGTGATATAAAGTGCAGGAATGAGATGTAACCCCATCCTCTACTTGTTTGCATCGTTAATCTGCCTGCAACCCTCACTCTGGCTCCGATCAATCTTCCCTTACCTCTCATCATCCCTGGCTACGGCTTTTTAGATCAAGGCCATCCCAGTAAATCTAGACACAGGGAGGAAAAAAACGTTCTCTTGGAAATGTGAATCTTCAGATCCTCACACTGGAGAAGGTGAAAGTCCACTGAAAAGAACCTTCTCTCTCTCTCTTTTCCTACTCTCTCTATAAATTGGTGATTCCCTCTGAAATCCCATCCAAGATTTGGTTTAGACTTAGTCTTGTAGGAAGGGAAGCAAGCGAAGGCCACTAGGTCCTCCTAGCATCCATCAACCGGCCCTCTCCAGCTCAGACACCCACAACCCTCTGGTTTCTTAGCCACTCTACAGCACCCCCACCTCGTGTTTGTATCAGCTGCTAAGCTGCTGTGAGAACTTGAGGGTCAAGAGAATATCTGTGTTCTCATTCTCTCTATCCGAAGAAAATAAGGACAGGTTCCCCCAAGCTGAAGGACACAATGCATTTCTGACATTCTAAAAATGCACAACCAGGCCAAACAGGGAAGAGTGATAACCTTCCTTCCAATGAATACAGGGGGAACTGGGTGTAAAATGATGTGTGAAGCCAGCCCGGGCTGGCCCACCTCTGCCTTGCTGTTTGGGTACCTTTTTGTGGGCCAGCCTCTGCCCACAGATAACAGGAAAGGGCCGAGGATGGTTGATCAAGAGTGAGGATTGATTTGGCTGCAAAGTGGCCTCTGAAGCTCTTTGAACTCAAAGCGACTGCTAGGCTGTCTCTTTGTGTGTGGGAAGGAAGCCCCAACCATCTCTAGGTGTCTTTCTTAGCCTTCATACATGGGAGTGGGGAGTGTAAGGATTTTTTTTAAAGAAGCTCAAACCTCCTCATGGAGCAGAAATGCTCCGATCCAGAAATGGCTAAGCCAACTCTGAGAGAGAAGTGGGGGCTGTTTCAGCAAGGGGACAAGGCACAGAAGAATTACCACCACCACCCATCTTGCCACTGAGGCTGGGCCTTGGGCCTCAGCTCTCCTCCCTGGTCACAATGTCCTCATCACAGGAAATATGGTATAACTGTCCGTGTAAACTATGGTCAGAGTAAGAGGAGGTGAGGGAGGAGGCTTTTTTCCTTTCATAGAAGCAGGAAAACAGCTGCCTTCTCCTTTAAAGGAGCAGCCCGAATTAACCTCACCTCTGCAGGTTGCTGGTCTGAAGGCGGAGCCTCTGCAGGCAGGGCCAGGGCGCCTGGAATTGGGCATGAAAGGAAATAGCGCCTCATCGCTCTTATCTAAGCCCAGAGGTATTTATGAGCGTTTATTCATCTGATCCGTTTGTTTGGGGAAAAAGAGCAGGCAGGCAGAGCCGGGCCAGGGACCGCCTGGTTTCTGGAGCCAGGTCTCTACAGATCAGTCTGTGGTCCCATCCACCTCCGGTTTGTCTGTCTGCACGGGGGAATATGTAAATACACAGCAGGCACCAGCCAGTTCTCTGTCAGAGCTCCCTCGCCCCCTCTTTCGCAGACGGAGGGACGTCAATGGATACCAAGCCCTGGGCACACATCAGTGGGACCCTCCTGACACCCCACAGGCAGGATTTATAATTGTGATTTTTCTGGGCCTTGAGTCTGCAGCCCCGTGGGTAAGCGCACATTCCAGTTCCCAGAGGAATGTTGCCGAAGTCATGCTCTGCTCAGGAGTGAAAATCTCCGGAAGGTAATCTTAGGAATGGCATTTGCCTGTGTTAGGAGGAGGAGGCGAGAGACAATATCTAGGCTTCCTATTTCCTCTGAGATACAGAGCTCTTCTCCCCCCCCCCCACGCCCCAGCTCCTTGAATAGTGGGCGCTTTCTGCTCTCCCATCCCCAACTTCACCTGGGGTGGGGAGGATGAAAATGTCTCCAACCCAGTTCTCCCCCTGGATGCTGATTGCCTGAAATGTTCCCCAATGGTGCAATGTGGTGGCTCCCACAGATTGGAAGGAGGCTCTTTAACTTGGACACCCTGCCCTAAAATCGGCTGGTCCAAATCAAGGTACAAAGACCTCATTTCCATTATGCAAATGAGCGGCATCTTCTCTGATCTTCTAGGAATAGCAGGGGGACCCTTCTCTCTTCTTCTCCGGTTCACCCTTACCCTCAAAAGACCCCCGAAGTGGTTCAAGCCCTGTAGTAGCCTGACTTCCCCCTCCTTCTGGTTGCTCAGAAGAGAGAGAGAGACAGAGAGACAGAGAAAAAATTTAGGAGGGCCCCAGACCTTCCTGCCAGATCCCTCGGGGCCTCCCGCAGAGCGACTCACTAAGCCTGGCCTTCCAGCCGCCAGAAAGTCACTCTTGACACGGAGGAGGAGAAAAAAAAAAAAGCTTAAAGATCTGCTCCAGAGGCTCAGACTCTAGAGGCGCCTACCCCAACCCTTAGCCCCTCAGCTCAGGGACACCGCGGCCAGCCTGGCACCGCAGGCAATTTCCTGGAGCCCCCGCGCGAGAACGGGGGGCCACAGCACCTTGAAAGGAGCTTCCTCCCGCCTTTTGAAAGGCCGAGCTAATCAGTAACCGGTGAGACTCGAGCCCGGGCCCGGACGCCGGCGGCGGAGGCGCGCACCCCGCCCTCGCCACCCCCTCCTGGGAAAGCGGTTCCGTTAGCCGGGTGCGAGGGGGACCTCCGCGGGAACGGAAATTACGGCAGTTTTTTTTTTTGGGGGGGGAGGAGGTTCCTTTAAATACTTCCCTCCTCGCTCCCGGTTTTCCCCACCGAGGCGATGCCTGCGTGTGCGCTGCGTGCGTCGATTTCGCTTGAACCGGTGGAGATTTGGGGGGAGGGGAGGGGAGGGAAGGGGAGGAGACGGACACACTCCCCTGGCGGACACCCGCAGCTTCCAGAAAACTCGGTTCAACTCCTACACACACACACACACACACACACACACACACACACACACACACACACGGACCCGCCAGCTTAGGAATCGGCCCAAAACCACAAACCGACTGCGAGGAGACAGAGCGGGTTTGTCTTTTGACAACCAAGTGGAACTGCCCGGCCGGCGCCTCCCCCTGGACGGGGGGACCCTCCGTCCCTGGGCTCAGAAGAAAACTAAATAAACCTTGAGCAGCTTTGGCCTCGCTTTGGCCTCCCCAGAGGGCCCCCCCGCCAGACGTGACTCGTGTCTTAGGTGGCGATGGAGGTGGTGGGCTTGAACCCCCAACCCTCTGGTTCGGCAGCCCCACCCCACCCCCTTGGCCAGTGGGTTAGAGGAACGCTGACATCGGCCTCTGCTGCCGGCCTCCCGGTTGGGATGCTGGGAGAAGGTCGAGGGGGGCGGAACGGGAGCCCCACCTCCGCTCTCTGATCTCCCCTCGGAGGGCACCGGCCGTGGGGGGCGGGGGGGGGGGAGGACCCCACCGAACCGTGCGGCTGGGAGTGTGCACAAGCCAGCGAGCGGCTGGCTTGTGCCAGAGACGCCTGTCCCCGAACGGACGGTAGATGGCAGCAAACCGCATAATTTGGGTCAGAGGAAACCGTCCGAGGGACAATTTATAACCCACTGGGAGGACTACAGGGGGAAGGGACCTTTAGTTGGAGTGGATTTGGGGAGTGGGGGGGGGGATATTTTCCGCCGCAAAATAGGGTCCCAGCGTCCTAGATGCTGGCGATTAGTTGCTCTTGCTAGGAAGCCAAGCTGTTTCTGTGAGCCCAGCCCCAGGACTGTGTCCAGAGCTTTTTTTTCCCCCTCTGGGCCCCCGGGGAGCCCCAGTCGTGTGCCACAAGTGGCCACGTTTCCTTCTCCGAATAGCTCAGGAGGGCCAAACGTACCGACGCGGTCGCCCCGTGGTCTAAAAATCCCAGACAAGCAGAGGCCTGAGCCCAAACCACCTGCACAGGCTTTAAAGAAACAGGGAGGCAGCCAATCTCTGTTCGCGCAAACCAGACCAAATTACAATGGTCTCCTGTCCTTCACGCCCTAGGTCACTTGTCTCTCCACGCACACTTTCCCCGGGGACCCTTCACCCCCATTTCTCAGCCCTCACCAGCTGGCCTGGACCCCACCAGCTACTGTAGGAATCTGTGTCACACCCAGCAAATCTGCCCCCTCCCCCAACCCTAGGGAACAAAAATTGGGCGCCGAGGGATGGGGTTTAGCTCTGAAGTCAGCCTCTGAGGCTCACAGCACTGGGTCCTCTAGTTGGGCTTTCTTTCTTTTCTTTTTTTAATCCCCTCCCCCAACACACACACATAGAACCAAGTGGATTTTTTTGTGAACAAGCCAGAAACAACTGCTAAAGTATCTCCAAAAGCCACCTTCAGATCCAGGAAAGTTTGCAATGTTTCCACGTCAGACATGCATTTTTCCCCCTCCACCCCAAATCCACACATTGTACTCCAATGAAACACAAGCAACAAAATCAGTCGCGACAAGAGACCAACAGGCTTGATTGAACCTACCGAGTGAAAAACCACAAAACTCTCTCTCCCTTCAGGCGAGGCTCCCTCGGGCTGGCGGAGGGGAGGCGGGTGGCAAGAGCATCTCTGGCTTTGGGTCCCTTCACCCCACAACCCTTTAACCTCAGAACCGTCTCCGATGGAAGATAGCAAACATCCATCTGTGAATTTCCTTCCCCCCCCCTTTTTTTTCTTTCTTTCTTTCTTTTTCTTTTTTTTTTTTTTTTAATGTCCCTCTAGCCAACCTCCCCGCCCTCGGCCGGCCTCTGCGGAGATTCCAGGCCCTACCGAGACCATGATGTCCCTCAGCGCCACCGCCCCTCGTGCCAACGCAGCCGGGAAACCACTGTTCTCCACACGCACACACAGGGCAGTCTGGGGAGGCCAGACCCAGGGAGAGCCGGAGGGAGGTGAGCAGGAACCCGCCAGGGCCAGCGTGGCTGGAGCTCAGACGGCCCCCACCCTCTTTTTCGCAGCCCCCCCCCCCATTCCGGGGCCCCCCCCTCCACCTTAAAAAAAAAAAAAAAAGCAACGTGAAACTGGCCTCAGAGGCCCCTTTCCCTTCCTCCTCCCCCATCTTCCCTGCAGCCTCTCCCCCCTCCAGGAAGCAGCCATTCCTCTCTCTCTCTACCACAGAATTTCCAGGGAAGCCTCTCCCAGCAGTGCCCAGAGGTGGGGTTCACCCCAGTCTTGGGATGGGGGGGAGGAGGGAGGAAAAAAACCCTAAGCCCCACCCCCTGCAAAAAACCGATGCAAAAGAATTAAGAATTGTAGAATCTCCCTTACCTTTGCAGAACTTGGGGTTGTTGGTTTTTGTTTTTATTTTTTACCCCCCTCCGGATTCAAAAGGTGGGGAGGAACGGGGAAAAGGAGCGTTCGGTTTCTTCTCCAGCTTCCAGAGAATATTGTCCCAACCTGAGAGCCGTCGTTTCCCCTTCTCTGACTTGAGAGAGAGGCTGTTTCGCTTTTCTGACATTTGCATAGAAAATGGAGTAAGTTCTGGCTTTGAAAAATCGTACCGGGCTGCAGTCCCGGGCAGATTGTCCATCTGCCTTTCATGATGACTAAAAAAAAAAAAAATCCCAGATCAGCAAGCAAATTAACTTAGGAATCAAAAAATTATTTTTGGTTCTCTCTTTTGTGTAATTCCCACCCCCTCCTTCCCTCTCTCTCTCTCTCTCTCTCTCACTCTCCTCTCCCCCCTCTCTCTTCCTCTCTCTCTCTCTCTCTCTCTCCCTCTCCTTCTCTCTCTCTCTTGCTCTCGCTCTATCGAGCTGATATTGAAGTATAAAAATATCAAGAGGCCGGAGCCCTGAAGGACGGTAGTGCTCCGACCTAGGTGTGGTGTCCAAAAGAATGCTGCATTAGAACCACAAGGGAAATGATAAAAAGTTCATGTTCACGATCGCTCGGCCACATGACCGGCGCCGGCCAATCGCTGGATTCAACCACTCATAAACTTCTATCACAAAGTTGTAAATTTTCATAAAACAACAAGGAATTTATTGCATTTCTTCATGGCTGCTCCACCAGCAACCCTTTTCTCGGTCGCCATCTTCTTTTCTTCCCCTTCTCTCTCTCTCTCTCTCTCTCTCTTTTTTTTTTTTAGGGAAACCCCAGTCTGAGACAGGGTGAGATCTGGGATGCAGGAATTCAGGGTGGAGAAGCCATCAAGGTTCAGCTAGAACCGGGGCTTTCTCCGGAACCTCCCCGTTTTCCTCAAGAGCAATGCCTGTCTTTTATAGTAAAAATAAATAAATAAATAGAAATTTTAAAAAATCCCTCCCCCCCCCCCCCAGATCTCTCACACTGCGCTGGTGTGAGGCCAGCAGGCAGCAAGGTGAGGCAGGAGCAGCAGCCCGGGGCTGGGAGCTGCTATCTGCGAAAAGCAAAGCTCCCCGGAACCCCTTCTTCCTCTCTGAACCCCACACCCCACACCCCAACCCCAGAGACCCGGAGCCTCCCCCACCTGTGAGCTGGCAGCTTCGCAGGTGTGTGTTTGGGGGGGAAGGGGGGCCCACCCCACAGGGCCTCATTCTTGCCCCGGGAGAGAAGGTGTCCTGGATGGGGGCCAAGCTTGATAGCCTGACGGGCAGGACTCCCCACCTCAGCACCTCAGAAACCGGGGGAGGGGACACCGGATCGCGGGCCTCCCCGGCCCCAACGCCGACCTGGGAGCAAGCCCAGCGCTCTCCCGGGGGCGGCTGCAGCCGGCAGCCGGGAAGCCGCAGGTTCCTTTAAGGGCACCTTCTTACAAACTGGAGCCGCAGGTCTTCGGGGCCTTTTCTTACAAATTCAAATAAAGCAGATTTTTTTTTTCCGGAAAAAAAAAAGAAAGAAAGAAAGAAAACCAAAAACCCAAACCCAACCCCTTTTCCCAAACCCTTTCGATTTCAGGTAGCGTTCTGGAAACCAGCGAGGGTCTGTAAACGAATAAATATTAAAATTCAGCGCCTCAGGTCTAGGTGTAAAGCCACGCTCGCTTAATTGTTCTGTCCAGCAATTGAGGATTTGCAAAAAAAAATGATAATAACAACCCACTCTGCTTTTCTGGGTTTAAAAAGATAAAAAATAAAAAAAATAAAATAAAACCTCTCTACATTTTAGGTTGAGCTTCTGGTGACCGAATGCAGGGGGGAAAAATAATAATTCCCTTTTTCAAATTTTATTTTTTTTTCTCTTCTTCCCCCTGTGTGTCCCTCAGAAGGTTCCAGGCTGGCGGCACTCAAGGGCAGGCTGAATGAACAGCGCGGAGGAAACTCTGGCGACCCGCGCTGCCAGGCTCGCTGCGGCCGCTCCATCCCGGTAAACTCGGTTCTCGCTCTTGGGACCTTAAAGTTTGGTGCGGATCGCCCCTTGTCAAGTTCAGGATGAAGTAGATTCTAACACGTACGGTAAAAAAATAAATAAATAAATCGGATTTGATAAAATCAGGGAAGCACACACGGACGGGAAATTGTTTGCCGACCGAGCGTGGGGTGAAATGCTCTGGGCAGGCTAGGAGGCCTCTGCCCGCTGCCCTGGCCTCCGCCCAAACCGCGGCAGGGTGAGCCGGTGCTGGCCCTTCGCTCTCGTTTCCTCGCTGTATTTGTGGCCGGTCACCAGGCTCGGGTTTCATCGGTTCGTGCAGAGTCCCGGACAGGAAAAGGCAGGCTCTTGTAACCCTGGAAGCTTTTCAAGTTGGGGTGTGAGCAGAACATAGGGTTTCCCGCGGATGTGTATACACTTGGGGGCAAATGTGAGCCTCTGCTTCGAAGCCAAGGTGTGAATGTACGCTGGCCTGTGTCCGCGTGTCCGTGGGTGACTGTGAACGTGCGCCGGCTTGTGAGTGTGTGTGAATGCATATGTGCCCTGGGCACGGGGCCAGGCGGATCGTGTGAGAGCCTGGTATGTACAGTTGTGAATATATGGACGCCCGTGTTTATTTGTGACTTTAACGGTGTGTACATTTGTGCGCTGTCAGCTTGTAAATACAGGGATTGTGTGCTTGGTGAAAGTATAGAGAGAATGTGTGTGTGTGTGTGTGTGTGTGTGTGTGTGTGTGTGTGTGTGATATTGGGTGCCTTAGTTGGCAGTCTACGTAACAGGGGAATCTGGAAGATAAAAGCAAAGCCAACACACACATACACACACACACACACAAAGCCAGCAGAGGGACCCTGGGACACCCACCCACCCACCAGCCTTGACCCCCCCCCCTCCCAGCCATAGGGAGACAGAAAATACATCATCGTTGTGTTTTTTTTTTTTAACTCTGTTTTATTTTCCATCCTTCAGATATACAGAAAGAGGCTCGAGGGTAGGAGCCAGGATCAGCAGCTGAGTGCGTCAGAGGCAGAAGCTCGTGGGTTCTTGGGGCTCCCTAAGGCCCTTATAGTGCTGCTGTTGGGAAGTATGGGGGAGGCGAGGAACCACACATTAACCCAGAACCACACTTCACAAAGACAGCTTCAGAGGAGGCTTACAAAACAGCAAGATTTGTACAAAGACCTACTACCAACATAGAAAAGGGAGGCACCTTCCAGAGAGCTACAGGGCAGGTAGATAAGGTCCTTCCCAAACTGTACAAAAACAGACAACACACTTTCCCATAGGTAGTATATCTTTTCTTTTTTTTTTACAGCGTCGAGAAACCCAAATTTCACCCTTCTATCTCGCTTTTTTTTAACTGCTCCATTTAAATAGTTTCCCCCCCCTTCTTTGAGTTTCTTGCTTCAGTTCCCAGAACTGGGTTCTCCTTCTCTTCTCACTCCCCTACTCTTTGCTCTCTCTGTCCCTCACTCTTCCTCCTCCTCCTCCTCCTCTGCTTCTGCCTTGTCCTGACCAGTGACCCCGGAGCCTGAGGTTTTGTTCTCCTTTTTCCACTTCATGCGCCGGTTCTGAAACCAGATTTTGATCTGTCTTTCAGTGAGGCAGAGCGCGTGCGCGATCTCGATGCGCCGCCGGCGGGTCAGGTAGCGATTGTAGTGAAATTCTTTCTCCAGCTCCAGGGTCTGGTAACGCGTGTAGGTCTGGCGGCCCCGCTTTCGGTCAGTCCCTACTCACAGTATTTAGGGGGAGAGAGAAAGAGAGAGAGAGAGATCAGTGTGTGAAAAATGCGGAGACAACCCCAACCTCCTTCCTAGGTGGTTCGATGTCTTGAGGTCAGGAAAAGACCACATTACTGGGACCAAATTAACCCCTTTCGCTGCTGCGTGCAGAAAAATTTCCAAGCTTCTCAAAGTAAACATTTGTTTTCTTTCTTTTCTTCTTTTCCCCCTGTGTGTGTGTGTTTCTGTGTGTTTGTGTCCACAAGAGTTGTTTTGCTTTCCAAGCCTGTGAGGGAGGGGGAGTAGGGTGCCTTGCTATGTAGCCTGTGGTTGGTTTTGAACTCATGGCAGCCCTCCTGATTCAGCCTCCTGAGCGAGCGCCAAGTGCTAGGTTTACAGGCCAGCCCTAGCACACCAGATAGCTCCGTTATCCATGAAGGGTGGCATTCTCGGCCAGGATCTTCAGGAAACCAGGTAGACCTTAGCTACGGCTCCTGGAGGTGGTATTCCTAAGGGACCAGCACTGAAGGAGGGCGAATTAATCCTCCTTCACTCTCTCAGGCCAGGAGCCCCAGGTCTGCCCTCTCCCTTTCAGATGGCCTTGGAGGTATGGGGCTCTGGAAACCATCTTACTGTTCCTAGAGTGAGTCTCCAGGCCTGGTCTGAGAAGAAAAGAACATAAAGGGGGGGGGGGGCATAGGCCCAGTCCCCACCCAAACCTGTCATGGAATGGAGAAGAGGCAAGAATTTTCTTTCCTTGGACCTTGGAATTATTAGTCTGACAGCAGTTGCCTCCTGGACTCCTTCCCAGTGAGCAGCAAGCAAGGCCTGCTCCCTGCCTGCCTGCCTGCCTGCCTTCCCAGGAAACCTAATTGTCTGAAGCAATCTTCATGCCTCCAGGACTGCGAGGGAGAAAGGTAGGCCCTTGGCCTACTGTGTGGAAGGAAGGTGGGGTCCAAGGGTATCTGAGAACTTCCAGCTTAGGCCCAGAACACACCCCACCCCCAGGAGACTTTGGGGAGCTGCTGCCATCAGCCCCTCTTGGGAAGGAGAGGGGAGAGGCGAGGCGGCTAAGGGCCATAATTTCAAGTCAGCTATAAGCCAGGCTTGAAATATTTACGAGGGGAAAAAAAAAAGTGGGCATGGGGGGGGCTTTGATAAACCAACTGGAAAGTCAGTTCAATTACAGGGTAGGTAATAGAAATCAGGAACAGCAATACCCCTGGTGTGAGAGCTGGTTTCTTCATGCCTCTGACCCCCAACCCTGATGAGGCTGAGAGTCTCTGACCCTCTTGGGTGTCCTGAGCCTTGGGGTTGGCTTCCAAGCCCATCTGCCTTGGGCAAATGTAAAGAGGGGTGTGTGTGTGTGGGGGGGCGCTTTGAAGGAGACCCGATGGAAAGAAGCCTTCTTATCTGTGGTTCCTAAAGCAGCAGCTGGAAGGCTCGACTCTGTTGATTTGGTTCCACGGAGTTCCAGCCCCTTCCCAAAGAGGAGATTCATCTCCTTGGAGTGATACCCTCCAAACTTAGCTGCTCCCCAGGGGTCCGTGGAACCCCAGAAAAGACACCTGAACAAGCTGCCCCCTCAGAAGGCCTTCGCCTCCTTTTGAGCCAGCCCCCTTTTAAAGTCCGCCAGGGGCGGGAGGGGTCAACGGACTGGTCCGCTCTGCCCTGGGTCTCGGCCTAACTCCCTTTCCCCTCTCTCTGGCTCCACGTCTCTTCTGCACCCCCTCCTCCAGCTAGGCCTCTAGAGCCCACCTCTAATTGTCCTGATGGGAATAACGGGGGAGCGGGGTTGGCTGGAAAGGAAGGGGGAGGGGAGACTGCTCAGCCCCAAGGCCCCCTCTTCTATATCTTATCCAAGCTAGGGCTGGGGGGGGGGGGACACACCCAGAACTGAGCTCTCGGGCAGGGAAGGGGTGGGGAGAGAGAGAGAGAGAGAGAGAGAGAGAGAGAGAGAGACCCTAATGGCTATTCTCTGCAAACCCCAGCCTTCCTAGGCAAGACAAACGGCCTCATCTCCAGCCCGTGCCGGCTCTGCTGATAAATATTTAAAGCTAAAAGGCCCGGAGGAAGGGTTGGGGGGCGGGCTGGGGGCTTGAGCGCTGTGGCATCGGCCAGAGAGAGAGAGAGAGAGAGAGAGAGAGAGAGAGAGAGAAAGAGAGAGAGATCCGCTGGGGCCTGAAGAGCACCGAACCAAACTGGGGGTGGGGGCGGCGCGCGGGGTCCCAGAACTGCAGCCAGGAGCGCCCCGGCCGCGGAGCAGGGTGCCCGGCGGTGGCAGGGGGCCCCTCCGGGGGGGACCGTGGCCCGGAGGTCGCGGCTCGGGGACCGCTCAGTGTTACCTGAGCTCCGCATCCAGGGGTAGATCCGGAAGTTACTCTCGGCCGCCAAGTCCCTCGGCTCCTTGGCGCCGGGCGCCTTGGCGGGGTCGCCGGGACACACCCCGGAGAGGTTCTGCTCAAAGGGCGCGCAGTGCATGTTGAAGGAACCCGGTTCGAGCCCGTAGCCGGCCGCGTAGACGCCGGCCGAGCTCTGGCCCGCCATGCCCCCCCCGCCGGGGTACAGGCCCTGCACGGAGGAGAACGGGGCGCCGGGACCCGCTCCATAGCCCGGGCGCTGGGGGTTGGAGGCAAAGGCGCAAGAAGTTTGTTCGGGGAAGGCTCCTGGAGCGAAAACCGAACTTGCGGCTGGATATTTAGAAAATAAAGCATTCGCATAATACAATGAACTCATAATTTGGCCGGATGATTTGTAGTCGGGGACGTTTTAGTGTCGGTTTTACGAGATTCCTTGATATATTACAGAATTAGAGTCCAGATTTACACCAAAAAGGACCCCCTTTTTCCTCTTTGGGCCACGTGACCCCGGCCCACGTGATCCGCCCTCGGCCAATGATCTCCCGGCCTCCCGGAGGCTCCCGGTAATGTGGAAAAAATTGTGGTGGCGTTGGATTTTATAAAATATGATCGATAATGAATGGGAAGGCCGGGGCCCTGAGGACGGGGGCTGGGGGGCTCGAGGGCCCCCGCGGGCTGGAGGCAGCTTGCAGGCGAGATTTGGGGGGTGGGGGGGAGGAAGGAATTGAGTGGAAGAGAAAAATAAATAACCTCCGAGCCATCCGTGTTGTCGCCTCCACCCCCCCCTCCACCCCCCTCCCGGCCTGTTCCAGAGCAAGAGACAGACGCAGGGGTTGAATGTGGGTAGGTGCTGGCCACGTATTTATTAGCTCGGGCTAATCCATTCGGCCTGCTACTGTTCCCCCCCCACACACACACACACCCCAAATAAAAGAAGGACGAGGCGAGGCGAGCCCGGCCTCCTGGCTGTGGGGACTAAAAGTGGATCAAGGCATTCCTAAGGCAGGAAAGCCAAGCCACCACAGGCGGCTGGACGCTGAGATTTCTGGTGACTAAAGAAGAAAAAGGAAAGGGGGTGGGGAGGGTGTCCAATATATATATATGCACAAAAATAATAACAGAAAGAACGGGATGGAGGTGGGGAGAGAAAGGAAGCGGGGGAGCCGCTGGGGTCCGCGTCGCTGCCTTTCCCCCGGTTCCGGAGGGCGGATGCCTCGCTCGGTGGTTGCCAGCCAGGCAGAGGCTGCTGCGGCAGGCCGCGGCCTAGAGCCTGGGAGGCGGCGGCGGCCCGGGGAGGGGAGGCGGGGAAGGACCTGTCCTTCCCGCTGCTCCTGCTCCCCCTAACCTGAGTCCGGGGGCGGACGGGGGGGGGCAAAATGGAAATGTAAACTCAGCAGCCCCGCGCTCCATCTCTTTCGCCCCCCTCCCAGCATCCCCCCCCACCCCCGCCCCCAGGACACCCACACGGAAACAAAGAGAGAGAGAAAGAGAGAGAAAGAGAGAGAGAGAAGAGGCCTGGGACGCCAGCCACCAGCCCGGGTACAAACATCTCTTCTCCCTCCGGGAGCGGCCTGGGCGCTGGAGTCTCCCCGGGCCCCGCAGCCCTCGGATGGCGAGGGGAAGGGAGGGGGTTCCTCTGGCTCCCCTCCCTCGACCCCTCTCTCCTCCAATCCCGTGCAGACGCCTCCCTCCGCACTCCCCCCCCAAACCCGAGCCCCCGGGCCCAGGGCCTCGCACCACCTGCTTCCAGCCTCCGCCCCCTCTTCTCGGCGACCCAGCCTAGGCCAGCCCAGGAGCCCCCAGACCAACCACCTCCCCCCTCAACTCCATCCCAGCCCCGCGAGGCGCCGGGGAGCCAAGGAGGAGCGCCGGCCCCGGGCCAGCCTCGGGTTCTCTCGCTTGTAAACTTTATTGTAACTCTTCCGCCCTTTTCAGGCGCAGACAACAGAACAAAGTATGGAGAAACAACAAAATATATAATTGGCCCCTCCCTTCCCACCCCCATAAAGCAATTCACGGAAACAGGGTACATTCTCTTCACAGTAAAACCTAAGAACACTTTTAACAACCGCTCACAGCGCGCATGCTAACTAAAAGTAATCTCTTTTTGAGGAACACTTAAAAGACAAAAAAAAACAACAAAAAAACTTGTCAAAAAAAAGCCAAAGGAGGAGGGGACAGGAGGGGGGAAAAGAGAGAAGCGAGAGAGATAAAAAGACAGAGCCGGGGGGGGGGGGGGGGGGAGGGGAGGGGTTGCAAGAAAGATGAGGACGCGGTGAGAGAGAGAGAGAGAGAGAGAGAGAGAGAGAGAGAGAGAAAGTGAGAGGGAGACAGAGAGAATTACGGCGTGAATAGGCAGTTTCATGTTGTTGGGAGGACTCAGCGGAATCGTCGGTACCTCGGTCGTTACAAAGAAGCACATTCAAAGGAAGGGGGGAAAAAGACCATTGCACAAGGAGGCTTTGTGTGCGTGTGTGTGTGTGTGTTTTTACACGGGGATGGGGTGAGGGGGCTCTGCCAGGGCCGCAGTCCTGGCAGGACGAGGGAGTCCTTGCTCTAAAATCCTTTTCTTGTCTCTTTTTTGTTTTTTTCCTTCTTTCTTCTTTTTCCTTTTTTTTTTTCTCTTTTCTTTTCTTTCTTTCCCCCCACACCCCGGCCCCCGAGAGAAGGGAAGGAGATCCACGGTAGCTCACACACAGAAGCTATTACGAGAAACTACCACTAGCGGGGGACTGGCGCGGCGGGCGGGGGACGCTGCGGTGGGAGACCCGGCTCCCGGCTGCGCTGGCCGAGCGGGGCCGGAGCTCTCGGAGGCGGGGGGCGGGCGGCGGCGTGGTCGCGGGAGGGACCGGCGGGCGAGCCCCGGGGGCCCCGGGCAGTCCCAGCGTGGGGGGTTCGAGCCTACTTCTTGTCGCCCTTGTGCGCATCGCCCTGCTCGGCGGCGCCCGCCTCCGGCGCCCTCTCCAGCTTCTCCTTCTCCAGCTCCTCCTGCTCGCACTTGCTGCTGGGGAACTTATCCTTGTTGTTCTCCTTTTTCCACTTCATCCTCCGGTTCTGGAACCAGATTTTGACCTGTCTCTCTGTCAGTCCCAGCGCGTGTGACACCTCGATCCGCCGCTTGCGAGTCAGATAGGGGTTAAAGAGGAATTCCTTCTCCAGCTCCAGGGTCTGGTAGCGGCTGTAGGTCTGGCGGCCTCGCCTGCGTCCGGCGGCTGCTGGGAAGGGGGGAAAAAAGGGCGAGACGGAGGGGAGGGTGGGGGAGGGGGCAGAGAGAGAGAGAGAGACAGAGAGAGGGAGAGAGAGAGAGAGAAGGTCGGAAGATTCGTGAACCGGCCTAGGAGACCAGGATAATAAAGTCAGGGGACCCTCGTGCGGAGGCGGGAGGGAGGGGGCAGGGAGGGGGGCCGAGGGGGGGACTAGACAGCTCTTGGAGCTGCCGCGGCCCTAAAGGAACAGCCCCCCCCCTTTCCTCCCGGTAACTCCGAACCGGAGTGGGGCGGGGAGGGGTGGAGAGGGGTGGGGGGCGGCGGCTCCCATCTATTCAAAGTGCCATAAAGTTTAGGAGGAAGGATGCGGAGGGGGGCGAATAAGAATTAAAAAAAAAAGCCCGAATGGGGTCCGAGAACCCACCTTGAAAAGCAAAGCTCCCCCCCCCGTGCCCCCCGCAAGAGCCTCTGCTGCCCCAGAAGAAAAGTTTCTTCAGGGTAATTAACCTATAAAGCCATCCGAGGAGACGCTAAGCCCCGGGCGCGCGCCCCCCCCCACCTCTCCACTCCCACCACTCTTTCTCCAAAGCCCCCCATAAAACAGTAAAAAAAAAAAGGGGGGGAGAGGGTGGGGGTGGGGAGAGAGAGAAGAAGAGGAGAAAGAAAAGTAAAAGGAGGGTGAGGAGTTTATGGGTTCAGGAAATTCGCCTGGCGACCCCCCCCCACTCCCCCCCCCCGCGCCTTCAAAGGAAGCGAAAAGAAAAGGAGTTGGGGGGGGAGGAAGAGGATAAAAAAAAAGAAAAGAAAGTGGGAAGGAAGGGAGGAGAGGAGGTAGGTGATTGGGAGTCCTAGGAGCCGGGGATGCTGCGGGCCTTCCCGGCCCCCCCCCCCCAGACCCCTTCCGTCTGGCCCGGGAGCGGGGAGGGGGGGCGCGCCCTGCCGGCCCTTTCCCACCTCGGCGAGGAAGGCCCTCCCGGGGGCTCACCTTGAGGGCGCATCCAGGGGAAGAGCTGGGTGGGTGACGGGCTCTGCTCGGAGCCCTCGGCCTCCTCTCCAAGGCCGCTGGCGGCGGCGAGCTTGCAATCGGCGTACTGCACCAGGTCCGGGTCCTGCGCGCCGAACAGGCTCTGGCGCTGCAGCGGGTCGTAGCCGTAGAAGTTGCCGGGGTCCCCGTGGCACGCCACGGCGCACGGGTTCTGCTGGTAGGGCGCCGTGGACAGCGACGACGGCCCGTGGTAGAACTCCTGGATTTGCGTCGGGTGCTGGAAGCTGCCGCCGCTGCTGGGGCCGTACACCACGGTGGGTCGGCCGCCCAGGTCCTGGGCGAAGCCGCAGTCATAGTAGTTGGGGCGCAGGGACTCCCCGGTTTTGTATTTGGAGAACAGTGAGTTGACGAAATAAGAGCTCATTTTATTGAATTTTTGGAGGCGGCGGCGGCGGCGGCGGCGGAGGCTGTAGTTGGGGGCTGTTGGGGAGGGGGTGGGGAGGGGGAAAGGGAGGGAGAGAGAGGAGAGAGAGGAGAGAGAGAGAGAGAGGGGAAAAAAAAACAGCGGATTCGCCGGCTCCTAGTCACCTCGCCAGGGAAGGAGAGGAAAGGGAGGAGGAAGGGGGGGGAAGAAAGAGGGAAGGAAGAAAGGAGGAAAGGAGGGAAGGAAGGAAGGAAGGAAGGAAGGAAGGAAGGAAGGAAGGAAGGAAGGAAGGAAGGAAGGAGGGAAAAGAAAGGAAAGACGAAGATCTCCGAGCCGCCCACACTTTTTGTGATTTCCAGGAACGGGAGAGCGGAGCCTGCAGAAAGTCTAAGCCTGCATGGCAGCCGCGGCTCGCTCGCCCTCCCCCCCACCCCCCACCCCCCAAAAAACAAAAATATACCGCCACTTAAAGAGGTCCTCGCTTTACATTTCGAAGAAGGGATGCCAGTTCATAAACAGTTTTCGGTGATTTACTTCCCTCCAAATGAGTTCTTTCATATTTTGCCCGGTCCTTTCACCATCATTTGCATCCATTAGAGGCCCGTCATCCTATTGGCTTCTGGGTACTCCTCCCGGACAGAACGCAGAGCGAGGGTGAGAGCGAGAGAGAGCGAGCGAGCGCGAGAGAGAGCTAGAGCGAGAGAGCGCCAGGGAGTGAGGAGAGGGCAGGGAGAAAAAAAAAAAGGAGGGGAAGGAAAAAAAAAAACACCCAGGGAGAGAGAGGGGGGAGAGGGGGGAGAGGGAGGGGGAGAGGGAGAGAGAGAGAGAGAGAGAGAGAGAGAGAGAACGAATACGGATTAAATCTGTTTAACTACCTACATTAATGAGATATCTCTCGCCTCACAACAAATCAAATACCTTCGCAGACCACCCCCAAAGACTGATGTGGGGGAGTCTCGGAAAAACACCACGCGCGCGCACATTTCCACGACGCCGCGCCTGGCGTAGGCACGCTGTTAATTTCGCAATTTTAACGAGGCAATTGGAGTCTTTCTAAATGTCAGGGTCGCTTCGGAAAAAATGTAAAAGAACACGGCTTAATTGCGCCGAGTTTTAAAAGGTCCTATAAATGTAATTGGTATTTTAATACAAGTTATCAAATCATAGAGCTTCCTCTCCTAAACATATTTTCCAAACAAACGAGGTAGTCATATTTAAAGCTTTAATGATCAATTTCCTTATTATTGATAAAGGTTTAACTATCGTGTGGAAGGGAATTGGCTGGGTAACCAGCTCCCCCCCACACACACAAAAAAACCGGCTGTAAACTCTTTAACAAACTATAAAACGCAATAAACCCGGAGTCTGTTGTTGATGCCGAAGCGCATAAAAGCTGTTAGCATTTTACGAGTTCTTTCCTCTACAGCTATAAAACTGCAGCTCCGTTCGCCCCCGCCGCCCGGCTGCAGCTCGGTGGGGGCGGATAAGCTGAACGACACCGATTATGGGTTGCTGTTGATTTTTTTTTTTTTCGGCGCAAACGGTGATTTCTTTTTTTTTTTCCCCTGAGATTTTTCACCTCCTTCGCCCTTACCGACACACCTGCCCTCACCACCACCCTCTTTAGAGGCCCCAAACCTCCCCCCGCCCAGTCTGTCCCCACCCAGGTCACTGCACTGAGCAGACATTCAAGGTTTTTCTTTCCAAAGGGGAGTCTGCGAGGGTCCGAGGAAGGAAGAAGAAACTTTCTGGTTAATGGCCAGTGCTAAAGCAGAACGGGGTTCTCCTTCGGGCTCGGGCGGGCGGGCGGCTGCCAGTTCTACAGTTTATATAGGCTTTACCTGCTGGTCTTGGGGGGGGGTGCTGCAAGGGAGAGAGGGGGGTCTTCTGGAGGCCTGTTGGCCTAGCCAGGGAAGACTGGGGGAGAAGAAAAGGTCTGGTGTCAAAACGATGGCTTCTCACAGGGCCAATGCACACCTGTGCCCAGCCTTGGCATCCAGTAACCAAACCCAGTTGTCAACCAGCTTCCTGGGGCCAAGTCCCGGTAGCCTCCACACAGGCCTCCTAGATATAGACGGGGACCGTTCCATCAACACGCCAGAAGAGATTCGGGTAGTGGAGACTAAAGCTGGGTACCAAGGCCTTGGTGAATGCTGCCTTATGCCCTCCAGTGCCCTGGGCAAAGGCCGCAAGGTGAGAGTCTAAAAGGTACCTGTTCTTCTTCTGTGCCCTCATAGCCACCAAAGGACTCCGATAAAGCAAGGCCTCTGAGATATCCATTTCCCCTACTTCTCTTCTTGGGGTGCCTTTAGTTGAACCTTGGGAAAAAAAAAAAAAACTAGAGATCTGAGGCCTCAGAACCCAGAATGTGCCCCATTCCAAATGCAGGGCCTCCTCTGGGTGCCTGGCACGGGGCTGGCAGCGGTTAGACCTTAGGAGGCCCAGTGTGAGAGGCAGGACCAAAGGCGGGCCGGCCTCCCGAGGCTGCTGGTGTGCGAAAGGAGGCCGGAAAGAGAGAGAAGAGGAGGGAGAAATATTCTAGAACAAAGGCAGAATCAATTTTACAAATAAATTCAATCGATTGCTCATTCTCTGGGATGCTTCTTTTGGGGAGGGGTCCCATGAACCCCAACCTTTGCAAAAAAAGAAAAAAGAAACCACAACGTTTCCAAGAGAGCTGCATTACTGGTTTCCACTTAACCTTCTAAAGTGAGTCCAGTGAATGGGGAGACGGGGAGGGGGGACAAAAAGGGAAGGGAAGAGAAATGAACCAGGCTCTGTTTGTTTCGTTGTTTTTGTTTTTGTTTGGGCTTTTTTTTTTTAAACACCAGGCAGAGGGTGCAGTGAGGTAAAACCTAAAGCAGAGTCAAGTTGTTTCAGGAGCGAGCATTTTCCTCAAGTGCGAGGTTGGGGGGGTAGTTACAGTCACGGATCCGAGGGCTGGCTGGTGAGGTAGAAATCCAGCGGCTCCTTCTAAATCATCCTTGCGCCGTGCCAGAAATTCCTGATGGAAGGAAAATGTTTCTGTTATAAGAAAGAAGGAGGAAAAAAAAAAAAAAAACCCAAGAAAGAGCGCGGAGATAATTTATAAGCCCCCAACGGAGGGCAGATTTATTGGAGAACCTCGAGTCACTCTCCGCTGGCCTCCCCGCACCTGGTGCCGCGCAAAGGGGAGAAGCCACACGTGGGGTCATTTTTGGAGGCTCAGGTTGGAGGAGGCCGAAGCTGGGGAACCAGCCTGGAGGGGTCGTGGGCGTTCAGAGCGACCGTCCCGGAAAGCACCCTGCCCGGGTCCTGGCCTCCAGCTGCTCGGTGGCCGCGGACGGACCGGGTCCCCTCGCTTCGCCCTTGGAAGGGAGCCGGGAGCCGAGGCTGGGCGCGCGCAGGGAGCCGCGGTCCTCACCTGCCCGCCGGGAGGAGCGCGGGGAAGCGCCCCGCCGGCCCGACCCTGACCCCGCAGGGGAGACCCTGCCTGAGCCTGGGTGGCCAGGCGCCGGCCCAGCCCGGGCCTGGACCCCCACAAAGGCTCTGGAGCCGGCGGCGCCCTGGGGTGGGGGACACCAAAGCCGGGTCCCCGTTCCTGCCCATTTGGGGGTGTCTGGGACAGGGACTGCAGGTCGGATTCCCTCTCCAGCAGGTGTGGGCAGCCCGCCGGAGGGCACAGCTTCCTCCTCAGACCCGCAGGTCCCTTCCCCTCACCTGACCCCACAGGCCTGCTCCTCATCCCCCTCGTCCTCACTGCAGGGAAACCCCACTTCTCCAATCAATCAGCCTCCTGGGTTTGGGCCCATCCTTTCACTATTTTTATCATTAACACGAATCCCCGATTCCCGTGCATTGCTCGCCCCACCAAACACCTTCTCGGCGTGAGAAACAATTTCTTGGTGGGGGACAAAAAAAAAAAAAATCCGGAAAAACGAACCATTGGAGAAGGGAGGGGGGAGTCTACTATCATTGAAACACATACAATAGGGGAAAGGGGGCTATAACAAACCCTACACTTTTATTACGTGCAAATTAGGCATGACTTTTGGTAGCTCGCTCTCAGTTCCCGGATACAGGGCCCAACAAGGTGCTGCGTGGAGCCGCAGGAGCCCGGGGCTGCAGCGCCGGAAGGTTTCATATGGAGCAAGGGTGCCATCTAGCGGCCACTCTGCAGAAAGACGCCCTTGCGTCTGCCCAGCCGGGTTCTCCGAGAACCAGCAGAGGAGGCGGCGAGAGATTAAACTTTCGTCGTTACTAGAAAGAAGGGAGAGAGATGAGAGCAGATAAGAGAAAAGGCTGCGGGATCAGGAAATGGCTCGTGAAATAGTTCAGATAAGCTCAAAGTAAAAAAAAAAAAAAAAAGAAGAAGAAGAAGAAGAAGCTGTAAACCCACCCCCCACCCCAACTTCTGGGGGAGACGCAAAGCCTTTGCATCCTTTATGGTCAGTGAAAGAAGAAACGAGCGCTTTTTAAGCCCTGCCGGACAGTTTCACAAGCTGAGGGCTAACAACTGGGCTTTTTTTGTGAGGACCGGGAAGGGGCTGAGGAAATGGAATGGAACTGAGGAAGGATCTCTTCCCCAGATTTCTGCTCCCCGCCCGCGCCCCGCTGGACCGTGTGTGTGTGTGTGTGTGTGTGTGTGTGTGTGTGTGTGTGTGTGTGTGCGCGCGCGCGCGCGCGCCCCCGGGTAGGCAAAGGTTTCTTGTTTATGGCTGGCGGTTCTAGAAGAGATGTGAAGAACAAAGACGGAAGTCCTAATTTTGACTGCCGAAGAAGCTTTGAGGACCACAAACTGTTCTTTCTCCCAGCTGTCAGCGCCTTTACTTTTTTATTTTCAACCCTCAGGGAATCCCACCCCACCCAACTGCCCCTGATTCCCAAGTTCCAGACCCCCCCAAGCCCCAGACCTGGGTTCAGGAGGGGGTGAGCGTGGGGTCTCCCTAATAAGGCTGCCCCATCCTCCCAGCAGGTCCGGAGCCCGGGCTCATCTGTGGCTTTCCTCTCCGGAAAGTTTG